AAAAAAAAAAAAAAAAAAAAAAAAAAAAAAAAAAATCAACTAATTGCATTTTAATAATTTTGATTTAATAAGTGAAATGAAGATATTTTTTTTAATTATATAGAGTATTTAATTACTGTAATAGATTAGGAGCGTTTTTTTCCGGAAAAAAGAAAAAAGGTAAAAAGTTAAAAGAGAATCCCAATTCCCATCCGACGATTAGTTGTATAGCGTATTTTTGCAGCTAACTCACCAATAATAGCAGAGCAGCAGTGTTAAAAGAAGAAGATAAAGAGGCAAAGAGGGCGCCATCGTAGATCAAACGGAGCCATGGATCCAGACTCAGTTGCCAAAGCATTCGTAGATCACTACTACTCCACCTTCGATTCCAATCGGGCCGGCCTTGCTAACCTCTACCAAGAGGCTTCTATGTTAAGTTTCGAAGGCGTCCAGATTCAAGGTGCTCAGAGTATCGTTGCTAAGCTCACCAGTCTCCCCTTCCAGCAGTGCAAGCATCATATCAACACCGTCGATTGTCAGCCCTCTGGTCCTGCCGGCGGTATGCTTGTCTTTGTTAGCGGGAATCTTCAACTCCCCGGAGAACAGCACGCCCTCAAGTTCAGTCAGGTATTTCCCCAATACTTGATTAATTGTTGTAATTGGCGATCTACTTGTGTTAACTATAATTTTCTAAATCGGTTATAGAAGGAAAATGGATGGAATCTAGATTTCCTTTTCCGAACACATTGGTGCTGTGATATTGGTGTACAACAATCCTAAAAGAGGAATCGGACGGTGTCTCCCTCTAAACTTGTCGAACTGCGAATAATCTAACGCCAATTGACTTTCCATTTTGAGGATCTCGTGAGATTCTGATAATTTAGAGATAGGTATGTGATTTACAAATTTTAGGTTTACTGCTGCGGGACTAGTTATGCTAACGTGCTAATAGCGAGATACTCTAGGCTCTATGTAGTATGTCCTAGATTGTAACTTGTAAGTATGTCTCCGGAGTTATAGCTTTGACGGCTGTGGAAGGATAGAGGAAGGTGATCTCTACCTGTTTGGTTGCCATTTAGTTTGTAGTATGACATCAAAGTTGCTTACTAGATTTTAGACTTCAATTGAACAATATATATGAGTGGTATCTGAACTACCTTGATTGATATGCCCGAGAGCCTGCTACAGCCCAAACGTGTGCGGTAATCTTAGGTACTGAGGGTGGAGTAGAAGGGCTTTAACTGTGTGTCATAGTTGAGATTTGCACCTTAGACCTCCAACTTATTATTTTTATGGCTCAACCCATTAATCATCCTTTTGGGAACAGGACATCTGCACACATATGCTATTAAGTGCATTCTGCTCTGCCAAAACTCAATTGTTGCTCATATGTCTAGTTGCTAATTTCTTCCTAGACATTCTCTCCGTTATTGCTTTCTTCATCCGTGTAAAGATGTGCATCTTTGATTTTTTTTTTATCAAGCTGCAATGCTCTACAATGATTTGGCTGTCTTGGCAGGGATGAATTTTCGCATAAAGAACAGTTGAACAATGCAACTTCAAATGCTGTTAATGCTAAGGTTCTCTTGTTAGAGAGAATATAACTTAACCGAAAATACTAACAAATAACAAACTGTGTACACCTGTTAAAATAAATTTAGCTCTCCACATTGCAAATACAACTTACTAGCATATTTGGTCCCCTGAGTATCACCATAAGTATAAGTTGATCCTTTATGAATCAATGCTAAAGCTTGGACCTTTAAATAGCATCAAGTCCAACACTGGATGGAAATCCCATAACTAGTCATGTTACCGACCACTCCATTACAAGGGAAAGGAATATATTCCTTTTCCAGAACCCATTCCCAAATGAAGAGAGCTCTAATGGATCATACTGTTACCCAGACTTTCTGCTTGATGAACTCTTTCATCTGCCTCCTTTTCCAATGGCGTTGCTTTGTAAAACTGAGAAAACCAATTTTGATCTGCCACGAGGATTACTACACAACCAACATAGGCCAGTTTGTTGCTGTAGGCAAGGCTGAATCACTCGGAAACATGAAATTTATCATTGTGAATTTCCTTTTCCGTGCAGTGTTCTCAGTTTGTAATGCCAGAGATAAGTTTTCCTGCTGCTAATATATTCATGTTTTGATCTAAGGAAATTTAGACTTGCAATTGTCAATTGCAACTATAGAAAGAACCAAAATTTCTTATCCAAAGCAAGGATTTTATGTTTCGGTTACTTAGCATAGCTTCTGTTTAGAGTTCTGAAAGGAATTCAAAGTGGCATATATCTCCTTCCAATTTGTAGTCATTTGATTGGCAACGAGTTGGCTATCCCAACTTTAACATCACATTCTTGATGTGATAAGTGTTCAAGTTTATTGTATTCAAAGGGGCCAGTGCATTAGCAGTGATACATGAAAAACCAGCACAGGGGTACCAAATAATTCCTTAGATTTTTGCCCTGATGGCTTCCTTCTTTACTGTTTGTCTTCAATAAAAGTTGTAGTGACCCTTACCATGAAAAGCAACTTCTTTTTACAACACATAACTCTAATAGAAATTTAAGTTTGTTCCGTTATGCCAGAGACTAAATGCTTAGCCACAAATCTTCCATGTGATAGTCTGACACTTGATAAAAGAAGTAGTGATAGTCTGATAGTTGTCATAACATTTCTTCTTGCTAATATGTTTAGAGTGAGCATTGTTTTACTGCAAAGTATCCTGCAGATGGGCTTTAGTAGAATTGAGTTGCTTCTGGCATTGGTATAGAGTATAGACTATTGGTTAGTTATTTGAAGTGTAATGGCTGTTATGATGACTGTCGGTGAAATTTATTGGATAATGTGTAAGTAATATCACATGTATATGGTCACCCATGTCCCAGGGAAAAAAGGCAGTGAGTAGCATTTCAGAACTTTTGGAATAAGTGAACAATAAACTTCCAAAGGCAATTGTTATACTTAAGTTCTTTGTGTGTAGCTGACTAAAGGAAGAAGAAAACAATAATTTTCTAATCCCATTTTCTTACTCAAAATATTTGTTTTTGGTCATGCATTTTGTGGGAGGGTGTTTTTCGTTTGGTGGACTTCAAAAAGGATTTTGGTTTTATCAAATGTGTTTCTTTATTATCTGTATCCTTATAGATTGTTTAGAAAAGTTTAATAGCATAAGTTTTAGAATGTCTTCATTTTGATTTCCCTGTATAATAGTACAGCCCATGTCTTGTACTCCCTCCGTCCCCTTTTACTTATCCACTAATACTAAAAATAATTTACCATTATATACCTGTTTTAACCTTATTACTAAGAATTATTCATTTCCCAATGCATTTCTCGAAACATTAAATTTATTATATTCAAAGGGTGATATAGTAAACTCATCATTCTATTAATTAATAATCTGTAAGAGGGAGTATTGTCTAGCTTTGACTTAATTATTTTTTGATAAAGTTGTATTTGATTGAATCATGTATTCTTTAGCAGATTGCTGCCTTACTTTGTTTTCTGAAGCCTTGCCTGATTATTTTCCTCCCTTGTTGTCGTATAACAGAGGCCTATTATTATAAGAAACAACATCCATTTTTGAATGGTGGGTGGTCTTTGGCCTCATCCTTAAAACACATTATGCAGACAGATTATGTGATGTTGTCCTATACAAATTCAAAGATAAGATTGCATGATACTCTGTTTTCATTTTCTTTTCATTTCTCCTGCTTTTTATTTGCCTTGCATTGTTTCCCTATTATCCAGACACAACATTGAAAAACTTCTGTTTTTGACGATTCAGAAAAAATAAAGAAGTGACAAGTTTTTGTGAGTTGCTTTTAGTTTGGGCAATTGAGCCCTCAGTTTCTTTTTTCTGGAATTGTGTTTCTGATAATAGCTTTGCTGCATTGTCTGTGGATATGCGGAGAAACTGCAGATACTAAAGCCTTCTATTGAATTTGACCTTTATAGTAAATTCTATGCTATGTTAGATGCTTTATAACAGTGTTTGATAAGTAGCCTGTTTCAGAACTTGTTCACACTCAAATTTCTAGGTTCTTACTCTTTGTTTGGATTGCAGATGTTTCATTTGATGCCAACACCCCAAGGGAGTTTCTATGTATTGAATGACATATTCCGGTTGAACTATGCATGAAGAAGGGTACTGGGTTGAATTGTCTTTTGTTCGTGTTTTCTTTGATTGAACAAATTGACTGAATATATTCTAAGAGTTTGAAAAGCATTGTTTCAAAAGACTGGTTTGCTGGTTGTGGCTTGATTAGTGATCAATGGATTTAACTTTATTAAAAAGCTAATGATATCTTCCTTGTTGCGAGATATTATATGCTTTAAATGTTGCTGCTTCTAAGTCTCACTTTATCTCTGTCTGAACTCTATGATGGATGTTCTTATCATTTTCTCTTTGTTTGAATTGCCGCCTTTAATAGTTTAACCTGATGACAAGTTTTGGGTAATTGAGAGAAAGTTTGTACTGGGAGAGGTTTCTTACCAACAATTTTGGGGTAAAGAGTGGAGATGTGTTTTTTATAAAAAATTATACCAGTAGGAAGATTGAAATGGATATGTTTAGTTTTGAAAAGTTATGGCACAAACAATTCGTGTTGATTCTCGTGGCAAAGTTTCTTCCAACTCAATTACATATTTCTATTTGCTATTTTGTTTCAGGAAAGGTGTAACCTTTCGTTTCTTCATCATTTGGCCAATTTCTTGTAAAAACAGAAAAAAGTTAGAATAACATTGTGTAAAAGCAAAGAATTTATTTTAATGCATGTTTGTGGGGAGAATCAGAATGTTGATCTCGAAAGCAACCTACTTCGTGGTTCTGAACATCAAAATCAAAAGCAGCAGCCCCACTAATAGACACAAGGTTGTGGTCTAAGCAAAGGATAACTTGTGAAATCCGAAAACCTTCACTTAGTAACCTTGTGTATAAATTCCACCAGGGTATCCACCCAAAGCAAACTAGAAAATCTTTGAGTTTCTTGGGAATTCAATAGCCCCATTACTATACTTTTTCTAAGTGTTGTACCAACGATCAAATCCAAAAGGGGATTAGGATACTATAGCGTTTAGTGAGAGGAAAATGTCTGATTGGGGTCCAGTGTTTGTGGCTGTGGTGCTGTTCGTCCTGTTAACGCCGGGTCTGCTGGTTCAGGTGCCGGGTCGCAGCCGATTTGTTGAGTTTAGCAACTTTCAGACGAGTGGAGTGTCGATATTGGTTCACTCACTTGTCTATTTCGCCCTCATTTGCATCTTCTTATTAGCCATTGGGGTTCATATGTACACGGGTTAAACTCTTTACTGGAATCATAGTGTGATTGATCATCATGCTCCACCATTGTTTTGCTACTATTTGTGTTGCGTCAGAATTGGTTGTCTTTTATTTATTTTTTTGCTTTTGCTTCTTTCTCTCTTTTTTACCATTCAAATTTGACGTGATGTATCATGTGTTGGGAAAGCTCTAGTTATCAATAAATGATCTTTTTGAAGAGTAATTTAAGTAGTCTTTCTTGTACTCCTGATTTCAACAAGCGGAACACACCATGTGATGTTGATTGTTGCGTGGGGCCATAGTGGCAATTCATGCTTGTTGAATTGCATAATTTTAAAAAATCAGGAATCATTTTTCACTTAGCAAAAACGGATATGCTCAAATTCAATTATTTGCGGATGTTTGGATTTTCACCCAAAATAAAGTGATTTAGCAATATGCAATTTATTAGGGGACTGACCCTTTATTAAGTGGGAAAATTCTAGCTTGTTGAACTATTAAATTCAATAATAATATTAAAAAGTCACCAATAATTGAGTCAATTCATCCACTGAATTAAAAAGAGAAGAAAAAAATCATAGCTGAGAGGATGGAAACCTGTAAGTGAAATGAATCGAAAGGAAACAAAAATGAAATGATCAATCAAACCGGTGAGTGATATAAATTAAAGTAATGAACTGAACTGGGAATACAAAAGTAAATGTTGGAAAAGGAGGTCACTCAGAGTAGCAAAGGATGAATTAAGCATAGAGATGTATATTGAGAATGACAAGGAAAAGCATAAGAAACAAACCAAAGAAGAGAGTGTGAAGCAACATAGAAACGATACTGGTCTTCATATTCATGAAATCGACAGGCCTATGTTTTCCTGGCATTTGAAATATTAGTCCTGGACATAAAAATCCAAATAGCGCTGTTGCTATGATCGGAGCTGCCCAATCCTTCATCTTCTTTATGTTGGCTGTTTTGATTTGTGAGATCAACCCTTAAAATTAAATACTACACAACAAGTTCAAGGAAAAGTAGCTTTAATAATGGGCGTGGAAGTAGAAAATGATATTCAGAATCCCATTCCCCCGACAACTTTTACTGTATTTTCTTATTACTACTACTACTAGTGGTGTGTTAGTTGGGGTTGGATAAGCCCAATAATGTCCTTTTATTCACTTAATACGGAGTATCATATTTTACTCACTTCTTTTTAACCTTTGTTTGCCTTTGCACTTTCGGCTGTTAACAGCTCACATATATAATGTTTAAATTTGTTTCTTCTACTTTCTTTTCAGTTGTCATATGAATATTTAAGGAAAAAACATAATGATATATTTTAAATATCTTTAATTTAAGGCCATAAAAATTAAAGTCTTCTTTACTTTTTAACTTCGTATCAAATCAAAATCGGACAAAACAAAGAGAGTAGTAAATGAAATTTGATTAGACAACACCTTGAATTCATCGCTGTAAAAAGTAGAGAAATTAAAGGAAGAGGTGAAAGTGAAAAAAGCAGATAAAGGAAAAGGGTGATGTATTCACATTATCTGACCACCTCATGGGAAATTAAATCTTCCCATACCGTATTGTGATTTGTGGCATCATGTCTCTTGACTCTTTTACTAGGAACAAGTAAAAGTGTCAAAGAGAAACGAAAATAAGTACAAGTGTATATTAGTCTCTTAAAAAAGGCTAATAAACATCTTAACTAAAATTAGGGGATCATTAAACAGGATTTTGGGGGCATCTATGCAACTAGAAAAAAGGCAGAGTTATCAACTTACCAAAATTTTAGGACACAATAGTAAATTTGGCATTCTTTTGTTTCATAGTAGTACTTTTAAACAAGAAGGAAAATAGAAAAATCCACATTTGTGTAAAACTTTAATCAACTCGATGGAAATTGTTTCTTAACAAATTTAAAATATTTAAATCAATTTGGTGGAGGTTATTCACTATTCAAAAATAATTTATCATCCAACCTCTCCAACCTTTATCAAATAGTACTAGAAACAAATTAAAAACAATATTTAAATCAACTTGGTTCCTATTCAAAAGTATTCTGTCATCCAGTCCTCTCATGTTATTTCTTCACCTTTAATAGTAACTTTTATAAAAACTTTATATCCCACTTTTAAAGGTTTTTCTTGGACCTCTGATTTAAATTTCAGCAGAATATGTTCTTCTGCCACAATGTGCTTGAGCAAAAGCCTTTTTTTTTCTACATAAAGTTGAAGGGGTATGTTATTCATCATCAACTTATAATACAAAATGGGGTAAAATTAAATTTACTGTTTTTCAATATTTTACCCTCCTCCATTTACTTCCTCCCAAATATGTTTAGCAGCTAGGATAGAAAGAAAGAAAGTGAAAAGAAAATTGTGTCTTCCCTTTTTGGGCCTTTTGAGTAGATAATAACCTACCGTTTATTAAGATTAAATAATAATAATTGATATGAAAATACATAATAATTAAGTGATAAGACTTTATTACGTAAAGAATTCATATTTTTCCACCATTTTAATTCATATGAATTGATTTATCTAGAATTTTGAAATTTCAGGCTTTAAAAGTATCATAAACCTTATTCAATAAAAATAATTTTTAAATAAATAGCATTTGTGATTTGAATTTGGAACCTTGAATTTTGAATTTCTAAATCACTATCCACGTGTTCAATATCTACATATCCAATGCATCTTTTTCCTTCGAATAATTTATTTTTCAATTATGCCTTGACCCAGAAAAAATTGTCCCCTCCTTATTTCTAATTTCTTTCCTCTACTTTTTAAAGATTTTTCTCTCTTTCTTTATCTTCTTGCGAGGCATAATTAACCTCAAGAAATTGCCTACAGTAAATTACTCGTTTAGCATTTCTAGGCTATAATAGTTTAGTTTTCTTATTTTATTTAAAAATATATAATGACTTAGAATTTTAAGAAGAGTTAATTTAATTCTTTCAAAATTATTTTTTATTTACATAACTAAGAATCAATAATTAGATTTAAAAAAAATTAAAATAAGCTAGTATTGTATTATGAATGAGTAATTTTTCAATGCAAAATTAAGCATTTTTACTAGTTATTTTTAACAATTAATCTTTTTCCATATTTTATTTCTTAGGCTTAAATATAATTTTTAATTTTTTTTTTCATGAAGAGAATATAGTATTTTTTTATACATTAATAAATGGCTTTATGTCTTGTGCTCACAAGTAGATCCAAAAATTCCTAGTGAGTAGTGTCCTTGTCCTACGTATACTAATGTTAAGTAGCGACTAAACTCGACGTTTCCTCCATTCTCCAAAAGCTACAGCTACACCTACACCTATTTTGTTTCTAACCCCTTTCTTCCACTACTGAAATAAATAGCTCTCTGTTAATGGCGGACTGGGGACCAGTGCTCATCGGAGTAGTACTCTTCATACTGCTGCAACCTGGACTTCTATTTCAGATACCGGGTAATAACCGTACTCTCGAATTTGGGAGCATGAAGACTAATGGAAAGGCGATTGCTGTTCATACTCTTATTTTCTTTACACTCTATGCTATTCTCATTCTCGCTGTTCATGTTCATATCTATACTGGATGATCCTGTAGTAACACTACTCCAGATCTTCTCCTCCTTTTATGCTACTACCATTTTCACTAATCCAACTTGTAAGCCCTATTTTCTCGCTGAACTTAAGATCTGTTTCTTTGTAATTTTGTTTTCAAGCGGAAATATCAGAATTGCTCGCGTTTATTATAGTTATTATGCCCTATTTAATTTGCCTGATGTTTCTCTTGCTTATTCAAATGGGTTTGTGTGTCTGAATTTGGCATCTCTTTTAACTATATTCCGGCCACTCGAAATCTTAAGAAAACAGAGGCGGTGTGATTGAGACAGTAAGCTGCAGTAGAGTAGGAGCAAATTGTATAGAATTGACGGCTAGTTTAATTAGTTAGCTGGTTGAAAGGACTTACGCTTTGCACCTGAAGGAGATTCTCCAGTTGGGTACAGTGCAAAGCCTTCCATTTCGGCAGGTTGAGCGCCATAAAGGACTTAAATCTCTTTCTTGAACTTGAAAGAGCTCGAACGAAGTGAGAGGGTGGATGTAATTCAGCTTGAATTTCATCTATATTAAATCTCTTAATATCGGAATAACTTATATAGTCATGATTCAATTCAGGTCCATCTTGATTGATTTCTCATTTTTCGGATCTGAGATTGAATGCCATAACTCTTATTTGTATTTTACTTTTTATTGGTGCTGTTGGGAAATCTGTAAGCTGTAGTAGAGTTGGAGTATAATGATTCTATAACATAATGATTCGTATATAGTTGACGCCTAGTTTAATTACATAACAACGGAAAATGACTAGTGATCTCATTTCTGAGTTCAACTCCCTTCACCATCAACCGGTAGGTTAAGGTTCAAGTCAAGCGGAAGGGTAATGGTAACCCTATTGATCCTCTTGGTGGGGGTGGGAAAAAACAATTAGCTATAGACTGCTTCAGTGTAAACTCATTTGCAGCCTCTAACCAGAGTAGTATTTGGATTTCTTGGTAGCAATTTAAAACGGATTCTATAGTGAAATATGCAGGACTCAGTTTTCGTGCTCGATTTCTTGGACCAGAGATATATGTCATTATACCCGTATGAATGATTGATGGACTAGGGACTATTTCCGTATTTGTTCAAGTTCCAATTTACTCCTAACTTAAGTTTTTTATCCTCCAGCTCGTATTTTGGTGCTTAAATTTATGATCGTTGAGATCTGCAACCCATTGCTTGCGCCTTGAGAACAGAATGATTCTGTCTTTTCTTCTATTAGATGTACTACAATCTTAAGTAAAGCAGATATGCAGGATGTTGCATTTTGTCTAAAATATATATATCATGTTCGGTGTAATAAAATAGGTAAAGGAAAAAAAAGAGAGATTCTGAATTATGAACCATCATGTACTGAGAATGATGAAGTGGTCCAAAAACTTGTTCCTTTCATTTGATACACATTTTGATATAGAAGGCACAACACTTTGTCAGAGTGTTTCAGAAGATCAAACAAGTTCAAAAGGAAAGAAACATAGAGAAAAAGTTGGTAAAACAAGAATTCCCTCTTCTGCAAAAGCTTTCCAAGAAGAGATGAAAATTTGGCTGGAGCAGCAGAGGCCACGAAGAAAACTCAAATGCTGCCTTTATTGCTAGTAGTATCAACCGGATCGTATGTGAACACCAATAGCAACTATCAAGATTGTATATATACAGAAGAATAAGATGGCATGAACTAGGATGGAAATCCCACTTGTGTACATGTTCCCGAACTCAATCACCCGAGTCCTTGCTGGTAGCTGGAATAGCAATCCTGGTGACAGTAAGATGAACATCGCCACTGCAACCACCACTGGCCCCCAATCTGCCACCATATTTATTTCAAGTATCGTGTCTTTCTCGCTCTCTCTCTCAAAGAATTTAATTAGGTACTCAAATGTAAGTTTCTCTCTGTTGAATTTAGTTGTGGTGTTTGGAAAATTGTAGCAGCAGATATAATGGAAATGTAAGTGATTTTGCTTAGTGAAGAAGGAGAAGGGGATATACTAAACTTGAGGGTTAAAAGCAAGCATTTGTGTTTTAAAGGGGAAGAAAGGTATGAATTGTGTTAGTGGGATTTTTTGCTTTATGGAATTAGACAGAAAACACCTACTTTGTGTTTAAGTTTCCGATTATTGAAGAACGCGCAAGCCTTTCTTTTTGCCTTTGCTTTTCAAATTTTATCACATAAAATTCATCAAGGTGGGGAGACTTTAAAAAAGAAAGGTGGTGCTGGTGCACGTGGAAAGCAGAGAAAATGCCAAAACTTTGTGCGTTTACATTAATGCAAAATGCTTTAATTTAGCTTATTTATATTTGAAGGATGATATCTGATTAGATTACAGTTAATACCTCAGCTGCTAATCAGTCAAACTTAGGAATGTTTAATTTGTATCTTTGTCCATGACAGATGAAAAGAACTAGGAGGAGGTGCCCACTGTGGATTTGCCTTTGTTTAAACCGCGTTGAGCAAAGATGCCACATCGTCTCATGAGTCATGGTCTTACAAACAGGGAGCTTGCCCTTCTAAAGAAAATGCATCTTCACAACTGTTTCAACTTTTATGCGCATTGTAATTTCTCACATGTCAAGTTAACTTACCGGTAATAACAAATAGTAGTAATTGTTTAAAATTACATAAGACAAACATGATTAGATAACTTGAAAAATAGAGTCCTCTAGATTTTGACGCGTGCTGCCGCTTGGTTTTGTTGATGGAGTTTTGCTACGCAAGTGGAAGGAATGTAATAGGAGAAGTAGGTGTTATCAGATATTGGGTCGATGAAGTGAATGGGCTCTTATAGTTTGTTTCTGCTATTCCATGTGCAGATAGGCCCGTCCATCTAAAACTGAAAACAGAGTAGTAATTCATATTATATAGGTCTTAGAATGGCGAAAGCCCACAAAGGAGACTGCCGTGCCGTCCAGGAGAAGAGTTGAGAAGGTTGTCAATTGTTTGCTCCGTGGAGGGCAATCGTGTCATTGCTGTTCGCTATCAGCTGATAATACAAATACTTTATTTGTCTGACGGTGCCATGATTATGATATCTCTTTGTCTAGTTTCGCTTGTCCAAAATTTACTCAAATAGATAAAGCCAAGCCACGCCACGGATCTACAAGTTTCATGTCTATTAACTCTTCCAAAATTATTCATTCATCTTTTTCCCACTAATCTCCACGAGTAATAGAGATGGCTGATTGGGGACCAGTTGTAATAGCGGTTGTTCTGTTTGTGCTATTGAGCCCTGGGCTTCTGTTTCAACTCCCAGGAAATAACCGGGTAGTACAATTTGCTAACTTTCAGACAAGTGGACTCTCTATTTTCATACATACCATTCTCTTCTTTGGCCTCATTACCATCTTCCTTATTGCCATTGGTGTCCATATTTACACCGGCTAGCTAGCTAACCATCAGCGTTTGTGATCCACTACTTTCAATTTTAAGTGCTCTGTTTTTCTCTGATCGATTTAATTTACAGCTTCTAGTTCAAATTCTGTATTCATTTATATGGTTGGTGGTGTACCAGAATAGTACTCTTTAATATTACTAAATCAGTTTGTGTTTGATTTTGTCGACTATTGCAATTCATATGTTGTTTGACTTGACTGTTTTTCAAAAACATATATACTCGTTGATGTTATTATCAAGAAAATATATCAGTGAATTACAAAGGAAACAAGATAGTAGAGACGGACGGATCCAGGATTCAAGTTAAACTTCTTATCGTTCATCTCATTATATATTACTATATCTTAAAAGTTTTGATTTCATATCTATAAATTTATGTACCATACCGTGAATACTAGTTGCAGATGAAGCCGGTGACCATCCGGATCTGAAGACAGTAGGAATATCACATAAAAATGCTAGATTATATCATATATCCGGTTAATAAGGTCTAATTTCGATGACAAGAAAATATGTATGCATGGTAGGTAGAATTTTTCTCGAATCTCCTATGGATTATCTATTTCCTGCTTACAAGTCAAATGAAAATCCCATCACCAGATAATTGGATAAGTAACAAGAAAATTAGTCTATTCCTTGTGACGAAATAAAACAACAGACTTTTTCGTGAAAGAGACATGCATTACTAAAGAGTAGTTTGGAAAGTAATTACCTGTAGTATTTTCTTTTTTTTCTTTTTCTTTTTTTTTAAAAAAAAGAAAAATATAGAAAAATAGCTACCTGTAGTCCATATAGACATGGTGAATTTATATTTTTCATCAGAGACCAAGGGATTGAAGTGTGAATTTCTTGCAACACCCCTAGGCAGTTTATTGATGGAGTAATACCTAAAGCTCTAATTTGCACATTGAACTAAAATGAACTGAAACAGAATTAACACAAAACCTCCATTAACAAGGAGCTAAGATAGAAGAAGAGAATCTCTCATTGTTAGAGTTCAAAGACTAACTTTTACAATGCTGAAAAGTACTATTTATAGAATCTAACTTCTAATCAAACTAACTAACTAACTTGAAGGAATTAGTTGTAACAAACAATATAAAAGGTCTATACTACCCTTGAGCATCTTGGTGAAATAACTAACTCCTTAACTACCTTACACTCATATCTCATCACTCCCCTTCAAGTTAGGTGGGGCAAAAAATATTTAAGACACCTAACTTGGATAAGAGATATTCATGTTGATACTTTGATAACCCTTTTGTCAATACATCTGCAGGCTGCTCTTGTGTAGGAAGATAGTTAACTTTGATCAAACCTTGTTGTAATCTTTCCCTTATAAAATGGCAATCGATTTCGATATGCTTTGTTCTCTCATGATATACCGGATTTGCAGCAATCTGTATGGCAGCTTTACTATCACTATACACTTGAACTGGTAGCTGCACTTCAACTTCTATTTCTCTAAGTAATCCAAGTAACCAAATTAACTCTGACACAGTGGAGGCAAGGCTCCTATATTCAGCTTCAGCTGAGCTCTTGGAAACTATAGTCTGCTTCTTTGCCTTCCATGACACCAAAGAGTTCCCTACCTTAACCACATATCTTGTTACTGATCTTCTGGTAAGTGGACAAGATGCCCAATCTGCATCACAAAATGCAGTGACTACTTCATCAGAAGAGCTAGGAAACAATAACCCCTGCCCAGGCTGTTTTTTCAGGTATCTCACTACTCTTAAGGCTGCATCCATGTGAGATTTCTTTGGCTGTTGTAGGAACTGACTTAGGTTCTGTGTGCTGAAAGACAAGTCTGGTCTTGTCATGTTCAGATACAACAGTTTTCCAATTAATCTTTGATACTTTGTCTGATCTACTAGAGGATCTTCAGGAGTTCCATGACTTTTCTCATGGTCATCATATAGTTTTGAGGTTAGTTTAACATTAACATCAATAGGAGTACCTGCAGGCTTAGCTGCTGACATCCCAACCTCAGCTATAAGTTCCAAAGCATACTTTCTTTGATGCATCAATATCCCTTCTGTTGACCTAGTGAACTCAATGCCCAGAAAATATTTCAATTCACCTAAGTCCTTCATTTTAAAAGCCTGCTGCAATTCCAGTTTTGTCTTCTCTATTAACTTTAAGTTGCTGCCTGTAATCATCATATCATCCACATATACTAACACCACAACAATGCCTGCTTCTGATTTATTGACAAATAAAGAATGATCATATTGGCTTTGTTTGAAGTTAAGAGTAGTAAGAGCTTCAGTCAGCTTATGGTTCCACTGCCTTGGAGCCTGTTTAAGCCCATATAATGACTTTGTTAGTCTGCATACTTTCTCCCCTTGACTAACAAAGCCTTGAGGGAGTTGCATATAAATCTCATCATCAAGATCACCCTGCAAGAAGGCATTGAACACATCCATTTGATGAATGTGCCAGTGTCTTGAAGCAGCTAAAGACACCATTGTCCTCACAGTCACCATCTTCACAACAGGGGAAAAAGTTTCTTGATAGTCGATACCTTCTAGTTGACTATATCCCTTAGCAACTAGCCTTGCTTTAAACCTTTCTATCTCTCCTGTAGACTTGTATTTAATCTTGTAAACCCACCTACAACCAATAGGTTTCTTTCCTGGTGGTAGCTCAGTTATCTCCCAAGTCTTATTATCTTCAAGGGCTTGAATCTCAGTTTGCATAGCATCTACCCACCTAGTGTCTGTCACAGCCTCTGAATAGGTGGTAGGTTCTCTAACTGAAGATGTAGCAGCAATGTAGGACTGATAAGTAGGAGAAAGATGACCATAACTGATATAATTGCACACAAGATATTGCACTTTGGAATGCAATTTTGAGGAAACAAAATCTTTGAGCCATGTAGGAGTATTTTTAGTTCTAGTAGATCTTCTGGGATCAGCTGGTATAACAGTGTCTGTGACTGCTGGAACTGGTTCCCCAACTGAATCAGAAACATCTGAAGAAACAATCTCAACATCTGGTAGCACAGATGGACCTTCAAGACAGGATAGTTCATCATTGATAGAACTAGGTGTTTGGAAAAATTGAGTGGTGGAGGTATCAAATAGAACAACTGAATCTGACAGTGGATTTTGAAACAAGGAATGTTTTTCAGACATCTTGATCTGTGAGAAAGGGAATATATCTTCTCGAAATATAACATCTCTGCTAACAAAGAATGATTTAGCAGTAAGATCAAATAAAACATAACCTTTTTGTGTCTCTGAATACCCCATATGAACTGCAGACTTAGACCTCGGCATCATTTTGTCATGTTCAACTAGATTTTTAGAAAGACACAGACATCCAATAGTTCTCAAGTGTGTCAATCTAGGTTTACTTCCATATAATCTTTCATAGGGACTTTGATAATTCAGAACACTACTAGGAACTCTATTAATGAGATATGCTGCAGCTAGAACACAATGCCCCCAATACTTCAATGGAATCTTACCCTGAAACCTCAATGCTCGTGTCACTTCTAGTAAGTGTCTATGTTTCCTCTCAGCTACCCCATTTTGCTGAGGGGTATAAGAACAAGACCTTTGATGAATAATACCCAACTCCTGAAACATTGTAGTACAAACTGAGTTTACAAACTCAGTACCATTATCAGATCTGATCACCTTGACTTGTGTAGCAAATTGATTCTTAACATACTGCAGAAAAATCTTTAATGCTACACATACATCAAACTTGTGTTTAAGTAAGAAGAGCCAAGTCATTCTGGAAAAATCATCAACAATCGTAAGGAAGTACTTATTGCCATCAAAGGTAGCTGTATTGTATGGACCCCAGAGATCAACATGAATCAAATCAAAGCTAGTACAACTTTTGATACTACTAGATGGAAAAGTAAGTCGAGTCTGTTTTGCATAGGGACATACTAAACATTTGGAAACTTTACACATACTATTGATATTCAAATCAAACATCTTAGCTAGTACTACAGATGACACATGTCCAAGCCTTTGATGCCACAATTCCATATCAGATGGGACTTGTGCTACTGTCAATGAAGTATTTTGTTCATCACCTCCAGAACTTTGTGTATACAGACACCCTGCTTCTTTACCAACCACTCTCACCTTCCCATTGTAAAGATCCTGAAGAACACAGAAGTTAGGGAAGAATGTAACTGAACAAGCAAGTTCCTTTGTTAACTTACTCACAGACATCAAGTTATACTTGAATTCAGGTAAGTAAAATACATTGGAGATAACACTCCTGTCTGTTAAGGCACAAGAACCAACATGAGTAACCTGAGTAGTACCCCCATTAGGCAGATGTACAATTTTAGGAATCTGTAATTTTGACACAGAACCTTTTATAAACATGTCCATTTGAGAAACCATATGGTTTGTTGCACCAGAGTCTACAATCCACACTTTATTATTCTCAGAAACAAACAAGGATTTACCTGCAGTGTGAGCAGCAAAAGTAGTATTGCTCTCAGATGTTGCAAGGCCTTGGTTCTGTGTGAGACCTCTAAGAATATGGTCATATTGTTCCTTTGTGAATGTACAACCCTTCAGTAATTGTTTCACATCTATTTCTGCTTGACTTGCTGCTTTAGAAATGCTATTACCATCCACTCTTCCATGCTCACTTTGTGCAGTAGCAGACTTCAGATCCCACCCTGCTTCATGCACATTAGTATTCAAGCCATAAGAAAAATGAGCCTGACCTGGACCAAAATTGTTGGAGCCTGAAGGAACACCACCTTGAACCTTCCTTTTAGACTTGAAATCAGGAGGATACCCCACAATTTTGTAGCAAAATTCTTTACTATGACCCTTACATTTACAGAAATCACAAATGAGAAGAGAGTTCCTTTTAAACCTCTGATTCACTCCTGAAGTAGAACTAGCAGTAGATGATTTAGAGTACATGGCCATAGAATCCATACTCTCAGAACTCAACCCCATATTGCTAATATGTGAAATCACAGCTTTTTGACTCTCATCCCTTACTACCATAGCATAAGCATGATTGACAGTTGGTAAGGGATTCATCATTAAAATTTGACTTCTAGCCTGATGATATGACTCATTAAGCCCCATTAAAAACTGATACAATTTCTGTCTGCTCAAGTGGTTTACAAACTCCTTCGACTTAGCACAATTACATCCAGGAG